CCCCAAAACCCCAAAACCCCAAAACCCCCTAAGTAAACTAATTATGAATTAGAAACGTAATCAATATATACTACAAATATAGTGTATTTAATTGAGTCAATTGATTTGAGATTATTATATATACGAGCGATAGTATTTATAATCTGTTTCATTTAATTGGTGGCTTTTTGTTTCTTTTGGTTGAATTAGCACTAGAAAAGGCATCATTTTATGGTCCACGATAAGCATCATTGTCATCTTTAACTTTCTTTTTAGACTTATCTCCCAAAGTTTTCAATGCTTTGCTACTTTTCTTTTTTCTATTTGTTGATTTTGAGCCCTTTCTCTTACAAATCTTTCCCTCATTATTTCGGATGATGAGTTCTTTAATCTCCTCCAAACTTTAGTTATCATAAGTATTATGATGGTGTAAGAGGATGTCTTTGTTATCTTCACTTAAGTGACTGTTATTCTTACGAGCTTCTTCAATCATCTTATTTTTTTCTCTTTCGAGCTGGTCTACATATGTTTTATGAAGCACTTAGGCCATTCTTGCCTCTTTTTCAGCTTCCTCTAATTGCTATTACAACTCAAATACATAGTCTTTATATTTATCCTGCTCTTTATTAATCTTTGCTTATTCATGATCAATTTATACTTGAACTCTTCGATTTTTCAATTTCACATAATCCATTCTCTTGTCTATATTGTCAAGCTATTCTTGAATCCAGAGTTCTTTGTTTAACTCTTTCTTTTAAAACTTTGTTATTCTTTCATCTAGATTGCCGAGAACTCTCTCATTTTATTCTTTGATTAATCTAAACTCTCTATACATTTCCTCTTCCTAATCTTAGAGATCCTGTATAATATCTTCTCCTTCAAATATCTCTTTAACTCTTTCTCCCTTTTCCACATGTAAAGTCTTTATTTTTCTGATGCAGTTCATTCTTTTCTCTTAAAGTTTCATAGGTAGTTCAAGAGTTGAATCGATTTAATTTTTCTTTGTTTACTCTTATGTTATCTATATTAAATGGCCTAATTCATCTTTAAATTTAGGAACAGTGTTTTGCTTTTAGATCTATTTGTTTCTAAGACATGCAGCTTAGATTTCCTCTATGTATTTATGACTTACAGTGTTTGAATCAGTAATTAATTTAACTATTTGGGTGTTTGAACTCATCATTTAGCTTAAAGCTGAGCCACCAGCATCTTTCATATTAACATTTTTAAGACCTAAGAAAGTCATTGTTGGACATTTCTTGTTTTCTTAGTGAACCCCTAGCCCCTTTACAATATACTAAACTCCATCATCATCTATATTATTATTGCTAAGATCTAAATGTAATAAGCCAGTTCTTCCCAAAATATCAAGCCATTTTCTCATTGCATTTGAGTTGAATTTATTTGAAGTTAAGTCTAGGTATTTTAATGTTGTATTTTTGCTCATTCCTTCGATGATGGCCTCACATCCGTAATTTGATATGTTGCAAGATTTGAATTCTAAAGATTAAAGCTTTCTATTATTCCATAATAGAAGAGATATTTAATCAAAACATTAGTGACTCATGTCATTACTATCCAGAGATAGATGAGTCATAAAATTATTTGATTTTAAGGCAAAAAACATCCTACCTACACTTTAAGCTGAGGCATTGATATTTCCAAGATGAAGTCTCATTAATCTGCTAGCGTTTTAAGTGAATAACTTAGTGAATTCATCTATACCTTAATCACCTATCAAATTATCACTAAGATTCAGTTCCAGCAATGATTTACTCAGACTTATTATCTCAGAGAAGCACTGAATAGCTTGTGATCCTTGTAAATCATTATTTGACATATTTATACCCACAAGATTACTTTCTAATGTAAAAGCTCCATTAGATATTATCTTTAGCCCTTCATTTGAAATAGCATTATCAGATATGTTTATCATTGAAAGTATTTTATTCTTTTTCAAAAGTTCATTCAAAGCTTCGCAAGCTTTAAATCCCATTCTGTTTCTATGAAGTCTATCATGATTAGCCAAGGTAAGAGAGGATAATGTTAAATGAGTTTCCAAAGATTTAAACAATTTTGCAGCTCCTTCAAAAGTTATATCATTGCTACCTAAATCAAGGTGAATTAATGAGCAGTTTTATTTTATCCCCTTTAATAATGCTACCAATCCAGCATTTCCTAGATTATTCTTTCCAAGATCGAGATGACTGAAATAATCCCCTGTTATTATTTGAGATAAAACTGTAGCTGAAGCTTCTCCTAGGCCACACTCCCTCATTATGATTTTTCTATTGCTGATTGTCTTTTAACAGAACTCAAAGAATCGTTTTTCTTATTCTTTGTAAGCCTTCAACTATAAATCTTTACATTTAGCTTCATATAAGCATGCTAATAGCTTTTGCTTTACTCCTTCAACTAAAATTTAATTAGGCCCTGTCCCAGGAGGAAATTCAATTCTTGCTGTGTTAGTATAGGCAGCTGCTGGTGTTTAGACTCTTTCAGGTTATTTTATAGAGCTTTTTCTTTAAAAGGGCTTTATTGGGAGTGTTGATAAAACACTTCCACTTTTAGCATGCTATATACCAATTTTCCCAGTTTAATTAATTGATCTAATGTTGAACTACTAGCTTCTTTGAGAGTTCTACATTCCAGCTATTGTAAATAATTTATTTGTTGTTTATTGCAAATTAAATGACTAGAATTGTTGGCTATGACTTTCTGACTGTTATTTTCCAAGTTGAGCTATTCTTTATATTTCATATTTAGGATCATCTGTATCTGAATCTGTAGTTTTTAAGTTCGTTCCATCCTGACTTAGAAATAAGGGCTGTTAACAAAGTTATCGCTGATTATAAGCAGATTATATCCTTTTTATTTGATTTTAAGCAACATCTGGAGCTGGTGTTTTTCTTAAATGCTTAGCTACCTATGAAGCAGCTTTTTCTTCTTCTAACTTTGAATGAGCTTGTAAGGCTCTTCTATGACTACCAGTACGATTTCCTGATCTTATTCTAAAAGCAACTTTTGTTTTACTATCTCCAGTTGAGAATTTTGTATCTTGCATAGCATTCTTACTGCTTTTGTAAGCTTATTCATATTGACGTTGCTTATCCTCTTTGTGCATTTCTAGAAGTATTTTCTAAGTTGAATCCTGTTTTTCTATTTTCTATCCTGGGAACTTAAAGTTTTCAATACTTTTCTATGAAAATGATTTCATAAGGTTTCTTTTAGTCTCACTATATCTTTCAGTTTCAGCAAGATAATTTCCACCTGCCATATCATTGATTTTTTATCTTAATTCACTTTTTTAATTTGAATCTATAATAGTCTTTTTAACAGAAGCTGAGTGACCAGCACTTCTATGAGTGAGTGAATTTCCTCTGCTCTTATATTGCTAAACATCATATTAACCACTTTAAATTGTATTGGGAATAATTAATCCTCGTCTAATTTGATCCTAAGCCAGCTCTTTGACTTACTTCTCTTTTGAAGCTGACCATTATTGTTATTTAACCAAAACAGTATGAAGAGAGTCCATCTTTGTAGGTGAGTTATTAGTGATTACACTTGAATTGTTATTGCCGATTGAATTGCTATTTTTTTCATTATTTTGATACTGATTTGTAAATATATTATTAGCTGCACCATCATAGTATTCAGTCCTTTATTAATTATTATTTTGCAAATTTTGAGTTGATTAATTTGTGGTCATCTTGCTAGATGTTTGAGAACTTAAGGCAATTTACTGCTTTGAATTTTTATTAATGTCAAGTGAGCTCTAAACATTTGCATTTTGAATGTAATTTCTACTCTTCTCTTTATCTGTATAGTCACTGACATGGAGACCTCCATTGGTGATTTAACTTTAGTTGCCCATCTTATCCTCTTGGCCAACCAGTTTCTTAATGTTCTTAAGAGACAAGCTGAATTCAGTGAACATATTTACTATATCGAAATGATTGTAAGTAGTTTTAAAGAATACCTTATTTGTATTTATGTTTGTTAATTTTTATATTTTGAATTTTTAATAGTTATGAATTCCATCTATAGTAGTGCTACGGGGTTTTGGGGTTTTGGGGAGATCGGAAGA